CACACACACACACACACACACACACACACACACACACACACACGACTCTAGAAGCAGGTACTATACTGCATTTGGGTGATACGTTTCTCCAAATCCAGCATCTTCCTGCTGCAAATTCCATGCAAACCTTTGAAACCAGCTTTCTCCTTTGAAGCTGGGGCTACTATTTCCCTGTGATGCTGATGGACTGTGAGTTCCGACGTCGACAGGATGCTGGCCAGCGAGCTCGTTGGCAAGCCCAACGTCGTGAAACCAGCCTGGCCGGAGGTTCCTGAGATGTGCTGTCCTGCAGCCTCTGATTTATGACGGCTGTGGGGACTCTTTCTACTTCCACAGGGACTGGCTCAGACTGGCTCAGGTCTCTGAAACCAGCACCAAATCCTTCCCACCTTAAAACTGTCTTTTCCACAATACCTTCTCGATACGTGCATCATTTTCCTGAAAGCCCACCATTCAGACGACTGAAATTGGGGTGTTAGCATTGCTCAACCCAGCCCTGCATTTTAGGGGGGCCCCTCTGAAGTTGGACTCTATCTGGGCTTGAAGCATCTTTCTGTGAAAGGTGTCTCTGTGTCCTGATTTTGCTTCATTTCTACCATAGAATCCCCCCCAGACTGCTTCCCAGCTCTGAAGAGCAAGGATGTCACTTGATGACTAAGGTGCAACTGCTCCAGGCCATGGGGTTTTTCAACCTCATATGTGGGCGAAAACCACACAGTGTTTTCAGATGTCAGAAGGAGGAGGAAGAGGAGGAAGATGAGGAAGAGGATGAAGAGGAGGAGGAGGAGAAGGTAGAGGAGGAGGAGAAGGAAGAGGGGGAGGAGGGGGAGGAGAGGGAGAAGGAAGAAGGAAAGAGGAGAAGGCATGCTTTTGAGCTATGGTGTCAGAGAAGAGGACTGACCATCTCATGGACGGTCAGAAGAACAGACCCGTCTTGGGGGCAGTGCAAGCTGGGTGCTTCTCAGAGGTCAGGGACGGGTAGACTGGGTCTCACGTCCTTTGGGCCTGTGGTCAAGAGGGGCCAGTCGGTGGAGCAGGGCATCTTCACTGAGACCTGATGAGACAGCCAGACCAGTCCCAGAGTTTCTTAGGTTGTGACCCTGTGGCGTCCAGGAGCCAGTGACCAGGCGGGGTGGATGTGTGGGTGCTGGGGAGGGGCTGTGGTCCCGGCCCGAGGAAGGGACAGCTCACCGGTCACTCCTGGTCCCGTTTACAAGCACTGCTTCCCCTCCGAGCCATGTAAAGCTGCCCCCAGATCCTTGAATGTCTCCTCTGAGGACAGGAACACCCAGCTGGACTTGGTCCTGCTTGTCCTGGGGTCTCAGAGAACGGCCCCCACCCCGTTCTTCCTCCTGAATTACAGACCCCCTTGTGTCCAGCTGACTGAGTGTATGCTGGTGTCCAGGGCCACGGGCTACGCTACGGCCTCCCCGAGACCACATGCGTCCTGGGGGCGGGGGGGGGGGAGACAAAACCAAGTGAAATGAACACAAATTAAGCAGTCACTTCTGCCATGAGGGGGTTAGATGATTTAACGTGGTCACTGTCGACACAAAATCCACACTTCACTTCTGTTTGCTGTCCAGTGGCGGCTGGCAGGTGCCTGGGAGCCGGGACGCCCTGTTTTTTCTCACACCAAGCAAGGTCACCTGGGGAAAGTTTCAGCGAAGCCTCCAGGTCAGGAGAGAGTTGAAGAGCCAAGGTCTGGTGGTCTGTTTGGTCATTTTCTGCAAATAAACCCGTGAGAAGCTCAAATGCAGCTCCTTCTGTATAGAGACGGACAGACTTGGAGACTGGGTGCAGGTAAAATGAAATCATTGTCCATTGCAGGAAATTGGTGGGTTGGCGAGGATTCTGAAGAGCACCCCAAAACCCCGGGGCACCCCTCTTGGATGAGAAAATCACTGGCCACCCACCACCCTCAAGGTCGCAAGTCCACCTGTGGCCACTCGAGGGCAGTGCAGTCCACGCAAAGCCGCCAGCGTCCAGTGTCCTCACTCTGCAAAAATGCCCTTTGCTTTCTCCTTTCTTCTGGCCCCAAAGATGCCTTGGGACGCGCCTGATTTCAACCAGGCTCATGTTCCGGTCTGTGTTTTAAGCTCGGTGGTCATCGACCTCAATGTCAGCTTCATTGCTCAGCATGAAAAGCCAAGTCATTGAACCAAAATAATTCTTCCACAACAGAGGAAACGTGCCTTCCACTCAAAGGAGGAGAAAAGGCAGTAAAAGGCCATCGTTAATTCTTGGGAAAGTCATCATTATATGGGGATGTTTGAGAGCCCTGCTGGCTGCCACAGGGGGACACACTCAGCTGTAACCATAAGGTCAGGGATTTGAACCCACCCGCTGGTCCGAGGGGGAAAGCTGAGGTGAGTAGACACTGGGAAGTCCTCGTGGTGTGACTATTGTCCTGGACAAAGAAGGGGTCTTCCTGAGAAGGGAGGCCTTTAAGTGGGGGATCTGGAGACGAGCGCCGTTAGGAGTAGGGGAGACCCTGAATCTTCTACTAGGGGCTCTTAGAAGAGACAGCAAAGACCCAAAGAGGAGATGGCCATGTGGAGATGAGAGAGACACAGCTATGAACCTAGGACCACCTGGAGTCCCCCAAAATTGGGGCGACACGTGGAAGGACCCTGCCCTGGGGCCTCTGGAGGGGACCCAGCCTGGCCCACAGCTTGACCTCAGGCTCCTGGTCTCTAGAACCTGGAACAAAGTCAGTCCTGAGGTTTAAGTCCTTAGTTCTGGGTCCTCGGTTTCAGCTGTCCAGGCCCCCACGTCAGGCCCTTGGTGACCACGAGCTGCTCCAAGCTGGCATTGGGTCGGCGTTCACATAGCATCCTCTCGGACCTGCCTTGGGGAGAGGGCGCCTGGGCCAGCACCTCCCCATTGGGGTCGAAGGCGCTCAGAGACCCCCCCAGTGCCATGCGCCCCCTGATCTGGGGGTTCCCCTGCTGCGTCCCCAAGAACAGGGATCCCCGTGCGCGCGGGGCGGGGGGTACCCTGGCACAGGTGGGCCGTGCGCTCTGCGTCAGCGCTGCACCTGAGCTCACCTGGCCTCGGGCTTTGAAGTGTGGAGAGGAGAAGTTAGCAGGACGCAGAGGCCCGGGCATTGATGCGCACATAAAAGGCGCCGGGCGTGTTAATTGGTCCTCGCCCTGGGCCTGGGGGACCCCTGTCCCTACCCCCCGCTGGGGCGCAGAGACTTAACATCTTTAATTCAACAACCTTTGTGTTAATTACCTCCACGGTCAGGTAGCGGCTGGCGGTGAGGGTGGAGGTGGGGAAGGGGCACACATTATTGTGCCTGCAAGAAAGGAAGGAAAGAAAAGAAAAGAAAATGGCAAGAGACAGGGTGCCCACAGCCCTGCTTTCAAGGTGCCAGTTTCAGCCCTGATGCTGGGCCGGGAGTGCAGCTCCCCATGTGGGGGCTCTTGTCAAAAAATGGGCGTGTGAAGATTCCTGCAGGGGGTCCAGGTGAGGGGTTAGGGTTGTGGCCAGCACAGGACTGGGCCCTGGGGTGCTGGGACGCAGGGGTGGGCACAGCAGCGGCCTGGGGTGACAGGCTGGGAGTGAGAGGACAGAGGGGGGTACAGGGGGGTGGGGAAGCCTAGCAATGGGGGGGACCTCTGGGGGATCAGGGGTGCACTTGGTGCTGGGCGGAGACCAGGCCACAGTGGAAAAAGTCTGCCTGGTGACCCCTCAGACACCCAAGCTGGACTCCTCAACATGGCCCTCAGGACGGAGCAGGACTGCCTGACCCCACTTTCCAGAAATCGATATGTGAGTCAGTCCCCTCCTTCCCCACAGCCTCCAAGCAGGAGGGACTGACCTGGCCTCCGCAGGCTGTGGTGGACAGCAGGACACTCCCTCAGCCCTACCAGGAGGCCCCCTGCACGGGGTGCACGGCCTGTTACCGTGGGGGTCCCCTGGTCACCTCTCACCCACTGGGGCACTGGCCTCTCCTCACCTGCATCCTGGAGACCACAAGCAAGGACAGAAAGCGGAAAATCGATGGGCAGATCCTGGGACCAGGTGCTGACTCCTAACATTGGCAATTCTGCCCGGTCACACTTTAATTTGGCGACGCCCATCAAAACAGCATCATGGAGGCCTCACACCTGAAACAAAGACCTTAACACATAAAAACGATGAAAAGATAAAGTTCAGTATGTGATTTGTATTTATTTATTTTTTTTTTAAAGTGCAGAAATGAAGGAGGATTGGGAGGAGGGGGCTGAGTGGAGAGGAGAATCCCAGGAAGGGAGTGGGTGAAATGCTGCTGCCTGGGGAGAAGCTGGTGGATTCAAACCACGTGCATTTGTATTAAACAGCAAAGCTTCTGGCCACTCGGCCAGCAGACCTCCCTGCAAGGGGTCAACAACATGGTGTGATTAACTGAGTGTCCCCGTCGGTGAGAGGTAATGCTATTGAACAGAAAGTGAAGGACCCAGAAGGACCCAATGGACCCAGAAACAGATGTATAAGCTTTCACTGAAAATAATAAAAATTTAAAAAAAATACATTAAATCCATGAAAACAGCAAATACCCCCAACACGGATGCAGAAAGATGGGAAGATGTGCTGTCCCCTCTCCTCTGTCTGTCCAAATGTCCAGGGCGGGAGGCCTCTCCCCTCCAGCTCTGGGTCATGGAAGGGGTCAGTCCAGCCAATGGGATGGAAGGTCCCTCAGTTACAGACTCCTGCTGTGTCTTTTTCTCCCTTCATTTCTGCAGGATCAGGTTTCACTGAGGCCTTTGTCAGGGGTGTCAGGGGAGGCCTTCAGGGTGGTCAGTCCAGTGAGACATTCCCTGCTGGCCTTTGTCCAGCAAACCTGTCCTCCCCAGACGTTGAAACAGAGAAGGACCAACGCCTTTCCCACCCACACATCCTTCCAGCTTCTCAGCCAGGCTTTCCAACTCTCATCCGCACCCCACAATTGAACAAAAAACTCTTGTTCGAGAACTTCAGAATCACCCGATAACGTCCACAGAACCGTGTCTCTCTACCCGCAAGTCAGTTCTGAGCATAGCTCAGAAGGGACAGTGTCCCGAACACCCCCAAAAGTCACTGTTCTGAAGACTTGTGGGTAAGAATCTCACACAGGGTTTCTGGGGTGAGGCCGCCATCCATCTTCTCAGGGAGGAGAAACAGCTGGCGGTTGCCCGTGGCTACGATGTCCACTCTGGCCCTCAGGGACATCCATAGTTATAGAGGTCCACGGCTGCAGGGGGGCCCACGCCTGCAGGGGCCCATGGCTGCAGGGGGTCCCATGACTGCGGGTGTGTGTGTGTCTGTGTGTGTGTGTGTCCATGAATACAGTGGGGCCCATGACCAGGGGGTCCCATGGCTGCAGGGGGTCCCATGATTACAGGGGGTCCCATGGCTGCAGGGGGCCCATGGCTGTAGGGGGGCCCATGATTACAGGGGGGGCCCATGACTGTAGGGGGTCCATGGCTGCAGGGGAGCTTATGATTACAGTGGGGGTCCATGGCTACAGGAGGAGCCCACAGCAGCAGGGGGCCCATGGCTGCAGGGGGTCTCATGGTTACAGGGTGTCCCACGGCTGGAGGGGCTCCCATGGCTGCAGGGGTTTCCATGATTACAGGGGGACCCATGGCTGTAGGGGGGCCCATGGATGCAGAGGGGCCATAGCTTCAGGGCGTCCCATGGCTGCAGTGGGGCCCACGGCTTCAACGGGACCCATGGCTACAGGGAGTCCCATGGCTTCAGGGGGTCCCATGGCTGGAGGGGGTTCATGAATATAGTGGGGCCCATGACTACAGGAGGTGCCATGGCTGCAGAAGGACCCATGATTATGGGGGGGGGCATGGCTGCAGGGGTCCCATGGCTGCAGTGGGGCTCATGGCTTCAGGGGGGCCCATGGCTGCAGGGGAGCCTATGATTACAGTGGGGTCCATGGCTACAGGAGGAGCCCACAGCTACAGGGGGCCCCATGGCTGCAGGGCGTCTCATGGTTACAGGGTGTCCCACGGCTGGAGGGGCTCCCATGGCTGCAGATCTCATGGCTTCAGGGGGGTCCCATGGCTACAGGGGGTCCCATGATTATGGGGGAGCCCATGGCTGCAGGGGGCCCATGGCTGCAGAGGGTTCCATGATTACAGGGGGTCCACGGCTGCAGGGGTGTCCACGGTTACAGGGTGTCCCATGGCTGTAGAAGCCCATGATTGTAGGGCAGCCCAGAGCTACAGTCACTGTGTCCGCCCATCTTGTTTGAACAGCCAGTGACAGAGACAAACCAGGTCCCACAGACTCGCGTATTAAGTTTTCCAGTTCATATAAAGTGATGTTGACGTCTCGATTGTTCAAAGGCCAGTGACTGTGTGGATTGTGACAGACGATGGGTCATTTTGGAAAGGGTGAGAATCCCAGGACCCTTCACCGTGTTCCTGCAAAACTTTTGCATCGACCAAGACGCAGTTCTCTCTGAACAGAACCAGGAGCACAAAGAGTGCCTTAAAATCGGGAAAGGTGTGCGTCCAGGTTTTCTCTTTTCTCCACACCTATTTGATCTGTACCCTGAGCGGATCATTCGAGAGGCTGGACTTTATAAAGAGGCCTGTGGCATCAGGATTGGAGGGAGAATCATCAATAACCTGCCTTATGCAGATGACTGAACCCTGCTTGCCGAAAGGGAGAAGGCCTTGAAGCGCTTGCTGCAGAAGGTCAAGGACTTCAGACTTCTGGATCCAATGCAGCTCAACGTCCAGAAAACGAAAAAAATCTCCACCCCTGGACTGACGGACAGCAGCGTGATGGACAGAGCAAAAAGACTGAAACGGTCCACAAGGTCATCTCACAAACATTCTTGGTCCCAGCAACCGGGGAGTCAGGAGGATGCATGGCCCTAGGAAAAATCTGCAGGCAAATTACTGAGGAGCAATGACGTCCACTTGAGGACTAAGGTGCGCCTGACTCAGGTCATGGTTTTTCCGATCTCTCGCGGTGCATCTGAGAGCCGGACAGTGAATAAGGAGGATAGAGGAAGCTTGGACGCCTTTGAGCTGTGGGGTTGGAGGAGAACACTGGACACCCCGTGGACGGACAAGAGAACAGGTAACAGGTAGGTCTTGGAGAAGGTGCAGCCGGACTGTTATTGGGAGGCAAAAATGATGAGGCTTGGTCTCATATATTTTGTGTGTGTTGCTAGGAGGGGCTATTCCTTGGGACATGATGCAGGGAAGGTGGATGGTCGGCGAAGGAAAGGAAGACCCTCAACCCGAGGGATGGACACAGTGACCACTGCCATGGACTCTTGTTGTGTCTGGAAGTGTGAGGACGGCTCAGGTCAAAGCAGTATTCAGATCTTTTGTCCATGGGGTCCCTATGAGTCTTACTCGACTTCAACAACAACAACGGCCTCCTCACCTGTCTGTGCACCTGATTCAGGCCCTGGTCTTTTTTTCAATCCCTTGTTATGCACCTGTGAACTGGACAAGGACTGAGACCGACAGACAGAGGCACCAATGGCTTTGGGCTGAGGAGCTGGAGAAGAGTCTTGAAGGAAGGAGGATGGGGCCGGGAGGACAGAGTTTCTGACCTGCTGTCCATCATTTCACAAGTAGCCGTGCTGGACCGGGCTGCACACTCCTGGTCACTTCCACACATCCTGCCTGATCCTCGACGCAGCTGCCCCCCTTTGCATCGAGCTCCCGCCTGCCAGATCCACCTCCTTCTCCACTGCTGTGACCTGACGCCACCAGGAGGTGGGTTCCCCTCACAGACACCGAGTCCTTCACCGAGAAGGACTCTGCACGGCCAGGTGCACAGGGACAGCTCGGGACACAGGGCTGTCTGTCTGTCTGTGAGTTCAGGATGACAGCTGGAGGGCGAGGTGTGTCTGTCTGTGGTTCAGGGTGACAACTGGAGGTTATCTCTCTGTCTGTCTGTCTGTCTGTGGGTTCGGGGTGACAGGTGGAGGGCGAGATCTGTCTGTGTTTCTGTGTGTCTGTCTGTGGTTCAGGGTGACAGCTGGAGGACAAGGTCTGTCTGTCTGTCTGTCTGTCTGTCGGTTCAGGGTGACAGCTGGGCACCAGGTCTGTCTGTATGTCTGTCTGTGGGTTCAGGGTGACAGCTGGAGGGCGAGGTCTGCCTGTCTGTCTGTGTGTGTGTTCAGGGTGACACCTGGAGGCTGAGGTCTGTCTGTCTGTCTTTGGGTTCAGTGTGACAGCTGGAGGCTGAGGTCGGTCTGTCTGTCTGTGTGTCTGTCTGTGGCTTCAGGGTGACAGCTGGAGGGCGAGGTCTTTCTGTGTGTGTGTCTGTCTGTAGGTTCAGGGTGACAGTTGGAGGCTGAGGTCTGTCTGTCTGTCTGTGGTTCAGGTTGACAACTGGAGGGCAAGGTCTGTCTGTCTGTCTGTGTCTGTGGGTTTAGGGTGACAGCTGGAGGATGAGGTCTGTCTGACTGTGGGTTCAGGGTGACAGCTGGAGGTTGTTTGTCTGTCTGTCTGTGGGTTCAGGGTGAGAGCTGAAGGCCGAGGTCAGTCTGTCTGTTTGTGTGTGTGTCTGTGTGTCTGTCTGTGGTTCAGGGTGATAGCTGGAGGCTGAGGTCTGTCTGTCTGTGTGTCTGTGGGTTCAGGGAGACAGCTGGAGGATGCTGTCTATCTGTCTGTGTGTCTGTGAGTTCAGGAGGAAGGTCCTTGTCCCCTGCACTGTCTGTCATCAGCTGGCCGGTCCCAGGAGATGCACCATGTGTCCTGGCCTTGACCTGGGGGGTGGGGGATCCAGAACCTTCACAGCACAGGTGCTCAAATGCAGAAGGATACCCTGAATCCTGGACGTGACTTCCAAGTGTGCCAGGACCCCCTGGTCTTGATTCACTCTGTTTCCATGTTTTCACACTTTTCTTCACGGGAAGTACCCCAGATCCCTGTCCAGCTCACAACCACACGCGAACCTCTCTGGGCAGACGGGTGGGGGCTGTGCCTGAGCTGTCCTGGCTGGGACTTGGACGCTCATGGAAACTGAGGGGTCTACCTGTGAGTCCCCTCGCCCTTGCCACCATTCCAGGTGAGAAACCTCAGCGTCTCACCTGGACAGTCGAACACGTGGCCCCGGGGAGGCCAGGGGCCCCCTTGCAGTGGACCACTATGAACACCTGTCTCCTCTTCGATGAGGACATTGACTATGAGGAAGGCCCACATCCATGTCTCTTCCTTCACATCAGAACCGCGTGCTCTCGTCCATGGTGCGTGATGCTGGGAGGAAAAGTGGACAGAGCACAGGGCTTCATTTCCTTCCAGGGAAGGAACTGCTCAGACACATTTGTGTTGAATCATGTGAACGATGTAGCTGCAAATGTCCATCTCCGGCCCTATGTTCCCGGGGCCACTCACCCTGGCTTAACGTTCTGGTCTTCTGGTCTTGACCCCTGGACAGATGCTGCCCTGCTCACCGTCTGTGTTTGGCTGTACCATTTAACCTTTCATCCATTTGTAAAATGACATGAACGGCAATGAACCACGTTGCAAGAGCTCTCTCCGCCCCCTCATCCCTCCTTGCAAATCCCATTTCCACCCATCCTTCCTTCTGGCCCTTATCTCTGGTCCAGTGCTGCCCTTCTGACCTTCTGTGGTGGACTGTCCAGTGGCCCCTGACACCACCACGGTTCTGAATCACATCCATGTCCATCCCCACGGGGCCACAGGCCTCTCTCCCCAGTTCCTCCCTGCGATGCTCATTCCCACACACCCTCCCGTTCTCACTTCCTGCCTTCTGGGCTCTGCTCTTGGGACTTTCTGGGGTCTGTGGTTGTAAGTTCAGGGGTCTGTGCTTGTAAGGTCAGGGGTCTGTGGTTGTAAGATCTGGGGTGAGTGGTTGTAAGGTCAGGGGTCAGTGATTGTAAGGAGTGAGCGCCCCACTTCGTCCCCATTTCTGGGCCTGTGGGTGGGTGCTTGAGCTAAAAGTTTAACCACAACGTTGACGTTTGTTCCAGGGTCACAGGGCGGGGTGCGGGGGGGGGCTGTAAGGACCACTGTGGGGTTGTGAGCAGAGGTGGCCCTGACTCACAGGCTGTGTGGGTGGGAGACGGAGCTCTGGGGGCCTCAATGGTGAGGAGATGCGCTCCTAACACGAAGGCACTCCTCCTCCTCCTCACCCCCTTCTCCTTCTACCCCTCCTCCTCCCCCTCCTCCTCTTCCTTC